TATCTATCTATCTATCTATCTATCTATCTATCTATCTATCTATCTATTTATCTATCTTACCAAATTTATCCTCCCACCTCCCAATTTTACTTCAGGAAGCAGAAACTGCAAAGTATCTTTCCTAAATTTCTAAAATAAAAAATCATTTTCATTAAACTAGAAAAAATTACAGTGTAATTGCCCATTTGAACATCTTTCAAGAGGAAGAGAAATTTTCAACATGTCACCTAGTAAAATATTCTGTAACAGTTTCAGAATGTGTTTGGCCTTCGTAAGTTTAAGCACTTCAGAAATCAGTTTCTCTCCTGTTCATTTGTTGCATTCACTCTGAACAACTGTAATTGTAGATGCAAAAGTCATAAATCTTTACACAAGGAACAAAGAAAACAGTGACTGAAAACTGTAATGTGTCATTTGGGGCTTTCTGTGCAGTAGTTCTATGGATACAATCTCAAACATGTTGTGAGCTTGACCTGTTCAGAAACTGCTTCAAATCATGTGACTTCAGCTATCTTGAGGAACTGAATCAACCTATTTCTCATTCTGTGCTAGTTTGTTTAAAATCAGAGCATAGCTTTTTCTCTTTTTGCAGAGTAGCAGCTCAATACTCTACATTTTGTTTTTCCCTTTTAAGTGCCATTGTAACTTCTGATGATTGCCAAACAAATGGTTATAAAAAGAAAGTACTTCCATACCTGTAGTGGTATGGAAGTGCCTTCTCTGTTTAAGAGTTTTCTTAAGACTGTTTTTCAGCAGAGGCTTAAAACCTGCTTATTATTTATTTTAAATAAACTACATGTTCCTATGTAGTTTTCTTCATCATTTGAAACGCATGACAAAAGCTAAACTTATTCATGTTTAGATGCAGTAAATTAAACTGTTCATGTTTCAGTAACAGTTTGCTGTTCCTCACATGACATACATTTAGAAGTGTTCTGTCTTAAAATTACTAATTGTTTCTAAAACAGGTACAATAAGGCTAACATGCTAAACATTTTTAAGGCAACCTAACCATTTGTCTAAATAATATCCTTGCATTTCCCATAATTATTACTTCATAAAGTCTACTTCATACATGTTTTGCATATTTTAATCTAATTTCAGATGACTTCTAAATTGACAAATATTTTTTTCTAGGGCATTGATACTATTATTTTAATTAAAAGTAATATCTTCAAGGAAAAATTCTAAATTCAACAATACAAGTTTTAAAGACTGCAATTGTATTTTTCCCTTCTCATTTGTAACTTCTTCAAACTTTTATCTATGCGCGCATCTCAGAAAAACTGTTGCAGACTGTATTTCCTGTGGTGCTTCCAGATCAAAGGTTTATTGTGCAGTCCTTTAACATTAAATTTTACTATTTCCTCTATTTTCTAATGTAAGAAATACATGAATGAGATAGAATAATTCTATCCAATAATTTTTATTTAATAGCCTTTAAATCCTTTACCTGGAAGCATTCCTAAAGTTTTTCACTTATAACTTTATAGATGGACATTTGTTCATCCTAAGAAGTAAAATGTTTCCTTTTTACTTGCAGTATAGAACAAAATATAACAAAAATCAAATTATTGATTAATAATATAATTAATATATGGATACTTTCCACAAATATTTTTCTTCAAAACTTGCAGTTTAGAAATACAGGAATATATGTTAGAAAAACAAAGAGATATTTTCCTGCTTCTTCGGAATGTTTTAATTAAACTATATTCCTAATAGTTTACCTTTTATTTTGCAGGTTGTTACTTTGTGGTACAGAGCGCCTGAAGTTCTGCTTCAATCCAGTTATGCAACACCAGTTGATCTTTGGAGTGTAGGTTGCATATTTGCAGAAATGTTCCGTCGCAAGTAAGCGCTAATTTAAATCCTTTATATATGGAGGAAAAAATAGCTTCATTTATAGTATATCTATATTATGTAATATATATTATAACATAATACAAGTATTACATGGACTGTCATTTTGCTTAATACATTGATTGGCTAATTTACTTAGAATGTCTTCATCAGACCAGATTTTAGGATGGTGTAATAATATAGTAGTAACATACTGTATTATTTAAAACAATATAGTTCAGAGATTCATAATGCAACAGCAAGTAAAAATGTCAAGGCAGGCTGGAATATATGCAGCTTGAGGAAGTTTGGAAAATAAAAATGTTAGATCCTGGCATTGAACAATTGTAAAGTAGAAGCCATGGGAAAGATATTCCAAGGTGTTTCCTTAGGAAAGATATTCCAAAATAATATTCAGTTATCATTCCAAAATGTTGAAATTGTCAGAAGATTTAGCAGTGAGCTAAAGGAATATTAGCTACCTGCAGTGCCTATCTCTTCTGCTCTCTACTATACTCTGTTTTCATCCATTCCTTTGTAACATTCAGATGATCACTAGAAATCCATTAGATCTGAAATTGAGTTTCAGGCAGTTGTTTTATGTTTTCTTTACGTTCTAAACAGTGCTTCTGTTGATATTTATAAACCCAGTTTACTGAAATACTCATAAAGAGGCTTTTGGATATGATTTCTGAAATATATTATCTTGGAAAAACATATTTTTGAGCTCATAGTATGGGGTTTTCAAATTGTCTCCTATTGAAATCCATGGTGTATTTCTTTTACATAATAAGATTAATATATTGCATTGTTGCTTAAACATTTTAATATTTGTGAATTTAATTTAGAAACAATTTTATTTCCAGATATTTAAAATATTGGTCTATGATATTAAAATTGAATAAAGTTTCTGAAATATATAAATCCTAAATTTATGAAATGTTAAATTTGATAGACTAGAATTGGAAGCAGTTGAAATAATACAAACATAATTACCAATTGTTTCCATACATTGTCATTCTACAACTATTTGATATATTGCTTCGAGAGCAAAATAATGTGTGTTAAATATTTTTATTTGGAATTTTTAGTTTAGTTTAATCTTCATGACAGCTTACTCTTAATATTGTTTTGTCCTTAGAATGGACTTTGGTTAAGCCACTGGAGGAAGAGGGACCTGCAACTTAGGAGATAATAGGATAAGAAAATTGTCTCTTGGTCTAGATAGATAATATATCAGGCTACTGAAAGAACTAATTGAGGTTATTGCAGTACAACTATAAGTAATTTCTGAGAATTCAGTATTTGTTAGATTTTAGATTCCAATTCTTACATATTGGAGGAAGACAAATGTCATTACCATCTTCGAAAGGGAGAAAAGGTGGAACTTCAGAAACTTCAGTTTAATCAGCTCTACCTCTGTATTGGACAAGTCTTCAAACACATTCAAGTAGCATATTGTTAATATTTGCATAAGAATGCTACTGTTAACAGAAGCCAGCATGAGTTTGTTATTAGAAAACTGAACTAGAATAATGTGACATAATCACAAGGCATTTTGTCACTTGGGTTATGTTGCATTTTTATATTGTCTGAGTCTGTAAGATACTACTTTATCTCCTTCGATAGAGTTGCTAGCAGAGTAGGTTTTCAGAATAATGTAGACCTGGATTTCAGCAGGTTTTGACAGATGGAAAATGTTAATAAATCTCATACAATCTGTTCCCAAAAGGAAAGTCTAGGAGGGAAAATGGGAATTAAGCAAAGGAAATCTTAATATGTATTAAAATTAGAAGGAAAAGGTTCAGAGTCAGTGAAGAGTGGAACATTGTCAAAACAGATTCCAAATTGGTAACTGAGAAAATAATTTCAGTGTGTTGACTAAGTACTAATTCTGTTGACATTGTGTTCATTAAACAAGTCAAACAGTTGATATTTATGCCAGAATCCTATTCTAAATATCTTGTACGTGTCTGTGAAATGTTTCAAGACTTTTAAAACTAGGCCTGAATGAGCATTTCTGGCTTAAGGATCTATACCTATAAATTATTTACTAATCTAGAAATTTCCTTTAGTTTCTAAATTTCTAGGTTCTGAGCCAGTACAATTTACTGGGTATTTTCACACAGAATTCTAAGGCATAGGTCAGTAGATCACTGTTCAAAACTGATGGCTGAATTTACAATATGGCTATTTTTGTTTCTTTAAATCTTAGTTAGCTAAGTTTGTGGCATTAATTCACTATTTGTCAGGTTTGGATTTGTGACAGAATGATGACAGTGCAGAAAATTAACAGATAGGAAGAATAAAAGGATTGCAGGAGGCACAGTGTCTTACAGGTTCTGCAGTGATGACTGCTAGAGTATAGAGAGTGGAGCTCTCTATAGTAGTTGAGTGGAATTTGAAGGAGTCTTTTGCCACCTGTGAAAAGGGGAATGGCTTCTGCAAGGGGAATGTAGCCCTGACACCCGAGGGTCACTTAAAATATTCTCAGAATTCAGGCACTTTTGCTGACAACATGATTAAAGGAATAACAGAAAGAGATAAATAACTTAGTGGCAGTAAGCACACACATTTATTTCAAGAGTCTCTTGTTACACAGGTAATTCACTCTAAGGTTTATGTATGGACAGTTTCACCATTTTGAATATACAGATGGTACCATCAATCCTGGGAGACCCAGATTTGCTCTAAGGTGCCTTTATAATTATTGAAAGATGAAATGCCTAATAACTTAGCAAGATTTTGCCTTTTATGATCACCCTCCACAAAATGGACTAATTCAGAATTGGATGAGTATATTATGTGAACAAAAAAAACATGTAATCGAACTTCCGATGGTGACATTGGGGCAAAGAGAGGAGACAAAGAACGGGCTTGTTTCTTCATCCCCTTTCCTTGGTGCTGGAGCGATCCTGTGGGGAACACGAATCCTGGAGAGAATTGTGATGGTGTGGGGATACTCTAGGAGCGAAGCGGCGGAGGGTGACCGCCTGCACAACGAAGAGGAAATATTCGAGCCCAGCACGTAAGAGACTGTCATCTGTGAATGGCGGTCCTGAGGTCCTGACAGCCCAGCTGTAAGGAAGATGGAATATAGGAGACAGGCCGTGGCAGAGATCGATTTGGACAGTGCGGAGAGAGAATGCAGAGAATTGGAATAGTTTGGAAGAAAGTTCATAATTTGCAGAGGGTGAAGGAGACAAGAAAAGACAAATTGGAGCTCCAGAGGCAGCGAACAAGTGGAGGTGAGAGTGATCGGAGAGAAACGGAGCAACTGAGTGTCCGAGAGAGGTATTAAAAAATTGTGATGAACCAAAAAGAGACAAAGAAAAGGGAAAGTGAAGATCTGAGAAAATTTCTGTAACTTAAAAGAACATAATTGTGTTAAGTAATCACTGAACTCTGCTAAGGAAATGACGAACATAAAAGAAACAGCGAGAATAGAAGAGACAGCAGACGTCCATTGAAAAGAACAACCATTAGTCAGCATTTTGACTCTTATTTGGTGAATTGTTGGATTATTAACACATTTTCTTTTTTGTTTTCTGTCTTGTCTGCATATGTATTTGCTTTTTCTCTTTTTCTCCTTTTTTTGATCAAAAAATTAGAAGATTTAACTAGGAAATTCAATGAAATAAGTGTTTATATTTATACAAATTGCTAGGAGAGAGTGGTTTTTATAAGTTACCCTAGAGAAATTAAGAGTAGATAAATTTAGCAAGACTTGATTATACAAGTATATAAACTATATTAATTTAGATTGTATTCATTTAATAGTATTTAATTGTATCCAATATAGCAAATTTATTAACATTTAGGAGATTGTATTTCTATCTAGTAGAGCTATATTTAATACCTATTGATTATATATATATTTGAACAGATAAATTAATTGTTTATATAATTAAAGGGGGGGATTGTCATATATCTATTTATTATATCTATTATATTTATAGTTGATACATTATTTATGTGTATTTTCATATACTTATATACTGATTTACTTAGATAGTTATATATATTTATAGGGCTAAGATAAGTTGTGTATTTAAGATATTAATAGAAGATTGCTGATTGTGAAAGAACGGGAAAATCAGTAATCACTCAAATAAACATTTGAGAATTGGGAGAATCAAATTGGTAACTTTATAAATACTAATAATAATTTTAACAATCCATATTAGTTAATGCCAACTTGGGCTAACGTCTATAGTATTTTAGGGAAGCAGACTGAAATACTAAAAGAAATGACAAGTATCACTACTACAACTTTGAAGACTGCGAAAAAACCTACATCAATGGCAACAACTTCAAAGATGGTAGCTTCACCCACGATACAAAAAACAATTGATAAGATGCTAATGGCGGAAAAACAGAACATCCCTTCTAACATTAGCATACAATCCACATTATTTACGTTACAGGAAACAATGCTAAAGCTTCAGGAAACAATGATGAAGAATCATACAGAAATGAAAGCATATATAAATGAAGTCAAAGAAGAAATGGGAAAACTAAAAAATGAAATGAAATTGGACATATCTAAACTTGATGAGAAAGTTGGTTCAATTCAACAAGCTTTAGAAAAAAATGAACATACAATAAAAGAAGTTGAAAAACGAACGGAACAAACTGAAAAAGGATCAGAAAGGGTTGATCAACAATTAAAAATAATAAGCAAAGAAATGGAAGACTCCTTGATCCATATTGAGATGGACCAGGCAGCATCATATCTTAGATTTCAAAAAGCAGATACATTGGGAAGACATAAAAATGAAATACTGAATGAATTGGATGATGTGTATAGGGTAAGCACAAGTTATGCCAGGTGACATAAACTCCCAAAAGAAGTACACATAAGGTTTACAAGAAGAAAGGTACGAGACATTGTTTATAGAATATCGAGAGATCAACCTGTTGTCTATCAGGGAAAGGAGATTCATATATTGAAACAGGTCCCGAGAAGGGTGAGGGAGCAGAGACAGGACTATAGATTTCTTGCTGCACGA